TTCGGGAAGTCGCAACCATTTACCTCGTCTTTTGTTACTTCGTGTATCAGAATATGACCTACTATGAACAAGTAGAAATTAACACCGTGTCTACTGAATTTTTATCCAGCATTTTAGATCCAATAGCCCTAGCTTTGGCTTCTACAGGCCGAGTCATTTTATGAGATTAATCGCGAACATAAGAATGCCTTAAAATTCATCATGTGATTCCCCCACTCGTACCAGAATTATTGATTCTGGTGCAAGATAGCCTAAAATCAAGCCTGCATATCAAAAACCAAATGACTTGATAGTGCGCGCGCTTAGCTGTAGCGAATGTAAGAGAGTGCAACGTCAAATGAATTACGACCAGTTACACAATCGCACCCCTAAGCAACTATTTCGAGCCATGCAAGCTCTGGTAAGTGAAAATACTCTTGAGAACTCCATCTTAAAGCAGCTATATTTGCAACGGCTCCCTACCCATCTACCACAAATATTGGCTAATTATCATCAGCATACCGAACAAAAAGCTTTAGCCCTTATAGGTGATTGAATCATGGATACAAACGCCAAGAATCTCAATTTCATTACCTCGTGCATCTACCGACTCACTCGTGAGAGCCGTACACTCCTTGCAAGAAAAAGTAGCCACAATCGTCATTGCAAAGCGAAGGAGCAACTTCCGATCAAACAAACGGCGCATTCTAAGTGCTAGTCGTTCCCTTTGCATATGATGTTTTCACTGAAGATTCCGCAACTGGGCTCGGAAATGCACAAAGCCATGTCGATTTTTCAATCTGGGAAACGAACACGCCAGCTCGTAATGGCAATGACGCAAGCTGGCATATGCGAGCCGGGTCGCCCTTTCTACTTGCGGAACGTAAAATCTGGCTTGTGATTCTTCGTATACATTGTTGCCTAAATTAGTGTGGTTCCACCACGTCCGGAGGACATGAATTACTGCTCCGTATAGAGTCTGTAGGCAGTAAACGACAAGTCCATCCGAATCTAGGGAGAATGTTCTAGCACATTGCATCTTGGTCTCCGCAGGATCTTTCCTTGTATTTTCATTGTAACCAACGTGACTACTGCCATCCCAGACCACGATACTTTCCAGCATGAATACATTATCGTAGATCCCAAACGCAGCCAGATTATTGATGGCCTACCGCAAATATCACGGGCTGGTTTCGAAAACTCCATTATGACTATGAGGTAGCAGCTTGTCCAACTACAGGCGACTACAATGTCTTTGGATCTCTTAAGAGAATTTAATAACATAACAAAGCCTGGATACCAACCTCATGATGTTAAACATGGAGTATTTCATAGGATAACAATAAAACTAGTCCGCTCTTCTGTCAACGCAGCGATTAGTGCCTGATAAACTTACGCAGCGAAGGCTGAATTCAAGCAAATGTTACAGTTTGGCATAATACGTCCATCCAGCAGTATGTGAGCATCGCCCCTACAGATGGTCCTGAAGAACAAATCTGGAAATTATGAACTTGTTGCCATTACCGCGAACTGAACGCCATCATCTCCCAGGCAGGTATCCCATACCGCCTCTCCAGGATTTCTAATTCTGGAACCAAAGTGTTCATCAGGATAGATCCAGAGCGGACATATCATCAAATGCTCGTGCATTTTCACGATGTCCCTAAGACTATGGTCACCACACACTTTGGCTTATTTGAGTTTATGCGAATGCATTTGGTCTCCAAGATGCAGCTCAGACATTTCCGCGTTTTAGGGATCAGGTCATTGGCTAGCTCGATTTCATTTTCGTCTATATTGAAGATGTCTTGGTAGCAACTCCTAAGCATGACGAACATTTGAGATATTGGTGACAAGTTTTCGAGCAACTCGCGCATTATGGGGTAGTTATCCATACCTCCAATGGTCAAGTTGGTGTTGTTAAGGCAGGCATCCTTGGTCACCGTATTCCCTCAGCCGAAATTACAAATCTACTCGCTGTAGTTTACTCTGACCAACACAAATAATCTACAAATCGCAATAGATGATGTTAATGCCTCAGCGACAGCAGGAAACAGCGAAGTACCTTCTGGTACTCCGACGGAAGATAAGGTGCCTCTCAGTGATTAGGGTAGGATGAAAATCAAGATCAACGTAGGACCCCTGATTAACAAATCAGGTCCAAACGGCAATGCAAGCTGAGAGCGACTCAGAGCAAAGCTAACCTAAGAGGCACTTAACACAAACACTCTTTTCGCCCAGTTGGGTCATGTGTTTGGTAGCAACCAGAACAGTAATCCCATGCAACCGCGCTGTTCTACGAGGTATATTCAACATACGAGCTGCAAAAATATTTCATCTAACATCAGATATCAACCTCTGACTATAACTAAAATGCTTCCCTACTTTCCTTCTGGAAAATTTGACAGATCTTTAACCGGTACGCTGAAAGTGTTAGCGGATCTCCTTTCTAATACCGCCCCTGCTACGACACCAAAATACATTGTAAACACGAATATGCTTTCTTTGCCAATTGCTGAGTACGCGAGAGATGCAGTATGTCGCAAAACTCAAGGTGCTAACGTAGTTAATTTAGGCAAATCACCGAGCGTTTGCCCGCCATGGTTGGACGACCTTATCTCATTTTAAATAAATACCGTGTCTCAACCAACACATGCCAATTACTGCTAACCCCTGAGGATCCTCTGTTTCCAGGCAAAATCATCAATAACACTGTGACACTTTTAGATACCGTAAACCTCATGTTACATTGCCGATCGCTATGTAGGCGAGATTCACCACATTACTTCATGAGATGCCGCTCTGTGGATGAATTAAACTGTGCGAAAAAGTTCCGTAAGAGTAAATGAGCTCCATTAAGCCACTACCAATTCGCTCCCCAGTTCTCCCGTTAGGAACACATATTTTACATCGACCGCACGCTGGCTACTGGGTGTTCTTTTGAACCCCACGCCCCATCCTGCAACATCGCTGACCACCAAACATGTGATTCTCTCAGAGTAATGGAGGGCCGCTTAAATAATAAATGATGTACAGGCATGTATTATGGCTTTTATAATGGTAAGTTCAAACTTTTGCTCATTAATGTCCGTGCATTGGTCCATAAAACGCACTTACTATGCTACTACGTCGGCCGTCATTAACCCCCTATCATACTTATTACCGAATCCTCGTGTGCCATTTAGCTTGCGAACCATCTTATTGTTATCCAAGATACTATTTCTTTGGAACGGACCTACGTCCTGATAGGAATGTTGATTGTGTCTTTTATGGTATACAAAACTTAAGTACTTCACAATGCAGTGGCGAGCAATTCTCATCCCTCTGTGAGTCCATTTGGATAGCAATATCCTTGGGAATTAATAGAAGGTTGGTCAGTTTTTTACGTAACCACGAACTCTTGCGCCCATTAAAAACTGATTGGTTCGGAATGCGATGAGGAATGTCTCTGCATTTCCTATTCAGTTTAAGTTATTGGAGAGGATCTTAACTTACGAACATATCATGGATCGAGTGCAAATGTAAAGGAAAGCTAGGTTACATATTAAAACTACTGTTTGATTGAGGCTGAACACAGCATGTAACAACTCCCACACGGTTGTACAATCCACTTGACATCATGTCCACTACTGGACAAATATTCACTGCTGTCGACCGTAGTGACCATAAAGTTGTCAGTTGCAAACTGAACATCGCATATGCACCTAACGTGCCATTGTGACAAGAGTGTAATTTTGGTAAAATAAACTAAAGAAAACTTGCTACCATTCTGCCTATTGCTGACTAGACGGATTTCTTCCTGTCTTCTAATCTAAAGGTGTCATTTCAAGCGTTTTATGCGAACATAAATCGATGCAACCAAGCATTGTTAAGCACATGAACTTTTTGAGAGCAAGCAATTGTTCATTGTTCCTTGTTCATTTGAAGTAGCCATTTAGTGCCCGGGGGTATCAGGTTGATCGGTATAGTGCACAGTCTTCCCTGCAATCTTAGAGCGAGCACATTGGTTTTATTTGTGTGAGCTCATCCTTCTATGGTGTACCTAAATCCTTAGGAATATATAACATAGCAATACAGTGGGCATTGAAAATTCACTCAGAAAGCAAACACATCTGACTGGGACACAAATCTGTCCATGCGAATAGCACGACCGTTAAGTTACCTTACCCGAAAATTAAAAGAAGAGGACATGTGGAGACCGGCACGGGAATGCCCATTTGTATATAGGTAGTTATATAAGAAAAGAAATGTAATCCATATTCTCACTAAGCAGACCACGGCAAGAGGAGGATGCTGAACAAACAGCCAATCGTTTCCAGCGGTTAATCCTTTTTGGGGAGTTTGGCTAAACATTTTACGTCTGAAAGAGGGAACACGGATGCGAGCAATGTTGATGAGTTCGACAGTGTTTTACTGACATTTGCTAATTTCAACGCAAACCCAGCACAACCTATGAATTGGCCGCAATGGAATAACTCCGCGGCACAGTTCCATGACACGACTTAAGCCAACAACAGATCTCGAGGAAAACTGAGTGACTCATCTCTTCATTCACCACAAATTCTGCTGAGCAATCCAGGGCAGTTGGTGGATCCAGTTCCACTTCGTGGCGCTGGTTGCCACGGCTCGAACGTGAAGTGGGCTGCAATCAGACAGTGGAGACGAATAACATGTGAAAACTCTCTAGACCATTTAGCTCAATTAGCACAGCAACGCGCAGTCGGAGGTGGGCACTTGTGACCTATTAATATTACAGTGCTCTTCACCTAATACACGCCTGTCTAGCAGGTCTCGTCTTGGTTCATTGTTCAAAGTATGAACATGTCTACAACGTCGTCCGTAGAAGTAGCTGATTCTCTTGTGCTTGCGTGACCCTGAAGCGATCAACCTCGTGGATCACATTATGGAAGCTTGTTCGCAAGCGCATTATCCAGATACCAGTGGTCGCATACGTGCACCCGACAGAAAAGTGAAATGTATTGATGAATGAAAGCTAATATGAAATACACCAGAAAACTGACCTCCCATTTTTCTGCCGTTGCGCCTTGTCGCAAACTTTGTTTGCTGAAAACAGATTAACACGGAAATAACAGATGGCTTTATTGCTGATGGTGTGAAGATGAAACTGCTCGATTACCTATCCTACATGTAGGCAGGAGAGCAAAAAAGATGTTTATAAAACCGCTTATTTGATAGAATATATTTATACAACTGCTATAAAAATTCCGTTTCACGAACGCATTTCTTCAACAAATGCAAAATTCCAAATCCCTGTAGCACGAATCACCAAAGGTTGCTTAACTGCTGTTTACGTTAGAGCTGAAAAGAGCAAACAACGTAATATTGGAGACAAACTAAACCCACTTCTACATTTCTCTCTTACTTCAAACCCGAGCACATATACTAAAATCCTTTCCAAAACATCTCGGCTTAATTGACTGCTGCCGTAATGTAGCTGGATCCACAACATACAACGTCAAGTTCCCACACAACCCATTAAAGCCTATCAGGTGCAGACATTTGAAAGGTCACGCTGCCGTATATAACGCCTACCCGGAAGTTAAATACTAGAAGAATAACGTCATCATGTCGCAATCGCACACGCGTTGGACAAACTGGCGATTGAGGTGTGTTGTTCATCCGAAAGTTGGATCAATAACTCTAACGGTGGTATCGAAATAACTGAGCCCGTATATCCTCTCGCTATTGCTCGCACGCATCCGGAGTCACAATGCGACAACTAAGGGTCAAGCTGTGTTTCACACCGTTCTCAGCTCCAATATTGAGCCAATTATGGTAGATTAGATTTTCAGGAGTGCAGTTTGTGTGCAACCAATTTAGTGTCAGCAAATGAGCAGGATACACGAAGAAGTACAAGACGAATTTTGCTTGCATTCAAAGAAAACTGAACCCGCTACCAAGCATTGTTAACGAATAAGAGCCGGAAACGCGGGAGGACTAGGAAGTTATTTAGGAACAGTGCCACATTAATCACCTCGTTAGGACAGGCACGGCACGCTTGAGTACGACGCATCTTTGTCGCTAACATTGCTGTGGCTCTCAGCGGATTATTGGCTAATCTCCCAAGAGTGGAGGGGGCTGATCATGTTTGACAATGATGTCCGTTCCGTGTTGTTCATGTATGGTAGTATGGTATGTCGGTACTACTGATGCGCGTTATCTGATGGTTGACAGCGGAACACCTGGTTCCTCGATGCACGGTTGCCTGACGTCAAAACGTAAGTGGTCTCAGTCAAGTGCTCAGCATGCTGGTGGGTTTGTTGACTCGATGTTGGTTCCCTCCTAATATTGTGCCTATTTGGATGAACATTTAAGGCAGCCAATCCTTGACGTGGAAGAAGAAAGTGTATAAGTTGGCTGAAAGTCTAATCCGGTTTGCTGTCTGTCCTCATTCTGGATGGTGACCACAAAAGCAGGCAAATCAGTGGCTAATACCACCCTTATGTACGACTCTGTCAACAAGTCCGCAGCAATTTTGCATTCCATTTCTTATTCTGAGGTCATAAGAAAGCCAACCGATTGCAATTTCTTGCGTTTCCCTGCGGGGCGATTAGCAATATTGGCATAATCATTAGTAGCATTGTTCGCATTATTAATAAAGCGACCTATGCCTATTGAACTTGATCCACCTCACATTAGTGCGTGGAGCTTAGGTGATTGAATGAAATGTTCCGAGTAAGCTACCTTCAGTTGAAACTTTTGCACTGAGCAGATATAGCTTTCAAATGCCTGCTACCCGTCGCGTATTGTAATTTTTGAAATAACGATAGGATATTTCATTCATCTTCCACTTCCGCTATAGGTCAAACTTTAAGGCCGTGCATCTTTCTTGGCCACAACACTTTGCTACAAAGGCAGCTTATTATGAAGCTCAGAAGTGCAGCACCATCAACCACTTTAATGCAAGCATTACTCAGGCAATTATCCATTGAAAAGAATGTGTTGTAGCACAAAGTACGAATAGAAGATGAGATAAACAAAACTAACCCTGCTTCCAATTTGAGGATTATGGATAATTCTTGGTGTATTCAATACATTCGTCGTGGAGTTTTCGGTTGCTGTTGGGATGGAGAAGTCACAGTTAGCTTGGTTTTGCGAAATAATCCAAAGTAGATAGGGTCAAATGGAAACCAAATAGGAGATGATAACAGCTATTCTATGAGGGCTCGGTGCCTCTTGAATGGAAACTCTGTTGGTTACAAGTATGATCACAAGCTTCCTACCAAAACTGGCGGCCTCGAAACTTTTCGAAAGCTGTTGTTCGATGTTTGACAAAACATGTCTCATTCGAGTTCACATTTGGCTCTCTAACATTCGGTATCATTAGAGAAGAGAAGAGGTTTGTGCAAACAAATATGCTCGCCATTGAATTACGGAGATTATGTGTGGGGTGAAATTGATCCCTAGAGACTGTTACCATAAGCTCGGGTCACACATAGGGAACCTCATCGTAACCCCAATTCCGATTTCAAGGGAAGTGAGCATTATTGAATTATAGCAGGGGAGATTCCTGCATCTGTTATATAGAAGAAGCACAAATTTAGCTGCTAAGATGATTGAGGGTTTAGGTGACAAATCCTACGCTGAACGCATTTGAACTTATATTTGTATTCATGAACGAATGTGTACTCTTTGATGGTTTCGGCAGTGTTTGACTGACAATTGCCGATTTCATGCCGTCGTCGGCTATCTCTTAAGATGAAAGAGAAAATACTTATTACATTTGCAATTTGTTGGTTGCTTTGTTGCGACAGATGTCTTGATCAATGGTTTATCTAAAGGCAACGATCTTAGGTCTATGCGCGCACTTAAACTTTTTGTATCGAAAAATTAAGAGCAAACCTTGTTACGTAACTTGTGGTAGCACGCTGCAATTATTTACAGCCCAGATAATCTGAAATCGAAAATGATTTCATACTCATGACACCGGAATGCAACAGGTATAAAACTGCTATGGTCAAAATGCATTTTCGATTCCGAGATGGGACTAAGACGAATGAACCGTGAGAAGTTAAGATATTTACCACTCAGTGTCTTACATAAGGGATATGCAGTTCGTGCTCTTGAGTACGAAATGGACTTCTGCCCTGAACCTAGCTTACCCGGTCGCCAGAGTCGGCATTCACGCCGAAAACTTTCCGCAGAACATCAACCGCCTAGAAGAGGGAATTCCGTCCCAGTCCGAATATTTTGTTCGATAATTGTTCACATAAACATGTAGTGTGAGGTTTCTCCGTAACACGCTCAGTCGCATGTCAACACTGATGGTGGAACGCTGTCCAACTTCGTTACAGCGTGGTACTACTAGGAATGTTCAAAGCTCATGCTAGAGTTCCTGGTAGATAGTGGACATGAGGTTCAAAAGAATCATGTTTTAGGAATAGTACATCCAGGTACAAAACGTTACGTAAAAGAACTCAGGAAGCTCCTATTAGCCACACCAGATGCGATTGCGGTGAAGTATATCAAGCCGGGACTGTGTAAACATAGTGTACTGGTGCAAACGATAGGTCATCTATAAGGATGAGACAAAGCTGCGCATAACGAGCATCCTGATTCTTCAACCGGTAAGAGAATAAGAGCCACCGGTACTTCGAATTCTGTTTTACCTCCGCCGCTTCTGCAAGAGATTGAAGCGAAAACAAAAGCATTATCTGCACTGTCACGCAGGATAAGGTTACAGCGACATAAGACAATAAAATAACAATACCGCTGGAGAACGTTCAGACCAACACTAATCTAGACCTCTTTTAAAGTCCTCTACGGTCTGGCCTTCAAATAATGATGGAGGTAGGTCATTAAGGCCATTGAATACACGATTCACAGAGAATTTCGCCCAGATCTCCAGCCTAGATCTCTGTTGCTTGTGCTTCAGTTGGTGTCCGCGCGGGTTGTTTGAGTCAGCAAACAAAAAGAGGGCATTATAGAGCATACCACAAAACTCCAACTTGTTTTTTAATCTCTCCATTGGATCACCTCTTGCCTGCGCCATTTCACTGAATACAAAAATGTTCAAATGCGTTCAGCGTAGGATTTGTCACCTAAACCCTCAGTCATCTTAGCAGCTAAATATGTGCTTCTTCTATACAGCAGATGCAGGAATCTCCCCTGCAATCTTGCAATAATGCTCACTTCCCTTGAAATGGAAATTGGGGTTACGATGAGGTTCCCTAGATGTGACCCGAGCTTATGGTAACAGCTTCCAGGGATCAATTTCACCCCACACATGATCTCCATAATTCATTGGCGAGCATATTTGTTTGCACAAACCTTTTCTCTTCTCTAATGATACCGAATGTTAGAGTGCCAAATGTGAACTCGATTGAGACATGTTTTGTCCAACATCGAACAACAGCTTTCGAAATGTTGCGAGACCGCCAGTTTTGGTAATAAGCTATTGATCATACTTGTAACCAACAGAGTTTCCATTCAAGAGGCAGCGAGCCCTCATAGAATAGCTGTTATCATCTCCTATTTGGTTTCCATTTAACCCTATCTACTTTGAATTATTTCGCAAAACCAAGCTAACTGTGACTTCTCCATCCCAACAGCAACCGAAAACTCCACGACGAATATGTTGAATACACCAAGAATTATCCATAATCCTCAAATTAGAAGCAGGGTTAGTTTTGTTTATCTCATCTTCTCTTCGTACTTTGTGCTACAACACCTTCTTTTCAATGGATATTTGCCCGAGTAATGCTTGCATTAAAGTGGTTGATGGTGCTGCACTTCTGAGCTTCATAATAAGCTGCCTTTGTAGCAAAGTGTTGTGGCCAAGAAAAATGCACGGCCTTAAAGTTTGACCTATAGAGGAAGTGGAAGATGAATGAAATATCCTATCGTTAATTCAAAAATTACAATACGCGACGGGTAGCAGGCATTTGCAAGCTATATCCGCTCAGTGCAAAAGTTTCCACTGAATGTTGCTTACTCGGTACATTTCATTCAATCACCTAAGTTCCACGCACTAATGTGAGGTGGATCAAGTTCAATAGGCATAGGTCGCTTTATTAATAATGCAAACAATACTAATAATGATTATGTCAATATTGTTAATGGACCCGCAGGGAAACGCAAGAAATTGCAGTTGGTTGGCTTTCTTATGGCCTCAGGATAAGAAATGGAATGCGAAATTGCTGCGGACTTGTTGTCAGAGTCGTACATAAGGGTGGTATTAGCCACTGATTTGCCTGATTTCCTGGTCACCATCCAGAATGAGGACAGACAGCAAACCGGATTAGACTTTCAACCAAATTATACGCTTTCTTCTTCCACTTCAAGGATTGGCTGCCTTAAATGTTCATCCAACTAGGCACAATGTTAGGAAGGAACAAACATCGAGTCAGCAATCCCACCAGCATGTTGAGCACTTGACTGAAACCGCTTACGTTTTGACGTCAGGCAACCGTGCATCGAGGAGCCAGATGTTCCGCTGTCAACCCTCAGATAACGCGCATCCGTACTACCGACATACCATACTACCATACATGAACAACACCGAACGGACATCATTGTCAAACATGATCAGCCCCCTCCACTCTTGGGTGATTAGCCAATAATCCTCGGAGAGCCACAGCAACGTTAGCGACAAAGATGCGTCGTACTCAAGCAAGCCGTGCCTGTCCTAACCAGGTGGTTAATGTGGCAGTGTTCCTAAATATCATCCTAATCGTCCCGCGTTTGAGGCTGGTATTCCTTAATAATGTGTTGTAGCGGGTTCAGTTGTTCTTCTTTGCATGACATGCAACCACAAGCATAATTCGTCTTGTACGTCTTCGTGTATCCTGCTCATTTGATGACACTAAACTTGTTGCACACAAACTGCTGCTCCGGGAAATCCAAGTTACCATAATTGGCTCAATATTGGAGCTTAGAACGTTGTCAACCACAGCTTGACCCGTAGTTGTCGCATCTGTGTCTCCGGATGCGTGCGACCAAAATCGGTAGGACAAGACGGGCACAGTTATTTCGACACCACTTTTAGATTTACTGATTCATGTTTTATGAGCGCAGTTTGCTCTACTTAACTAACATTCCTGCGCGGCGTATTTTCTACTCCTCTTCTATTCATTTCGACGCTAACTCTTTTTTTACTGTGGCTTCAAATAGATCTTTTTGCCTATATTCTGCAGGAGAATTTTTGCGCCCATGTGTTCATTTCAATTTTTCATGATCATCGGGTGAATCAAATATATTCTTTCCGTTTAAGTTCACATGCTGATTGTGATCTTTCATGTTTATCTTTGACTTAGTAAACGCTAACATCACTGCCATTAAATCTTCTCGTTCGCTTGCTTTTGATATGCATATTAACCCTGTCTGTTGCAACTTGATTCCTGCCTGTTACATGACTCGTCACTTACCTTAATAATATGTCACGGTTTACAGGAATTTTGAAGTCTACAATATATACTTAATAATTATTTGTTGCGCAATGTTCCTACTTCCCTCCAATTGCCAGCTAGATATATCCTATTGATACCGGGATTCAACATAAGGCGGCCTATTCGATGAACATCATTTGTTCGTTTTTTTCAAAATCACAGCGATTTTTACCTTCCCGGAGCACAGTCTCCGTCCTGTAGTTAATACGAACCTTTATTTGTCTACCCATATCGAGTTACGCATTGCGTACGTAACCCTCCAAATATTACCTCAATTCATCAACTCCCGCATGCAAAGAATCGATACCTACACTATGGTCACCAATCATATTTTTTGCAGTGGTGAGTCTATACAAATAGTGTTTGTCATAATTGACTTGTTGCTTAGATGCGTATGAAATGGTATCGAGTAATCTGCCACATACAAGGTGAGCCCAGGTGTTCGCTAAACGTACCCTGAATAAGCAACTGCACTTCAACTGGGGATGTCGAGCGTACAGATCAATTTATTCCTGCTCCAACCTAGAACAGTTGTTGTGGTACCACAACATTCATCGGTCGCAAGTAATACCGTCTTTTACAGCAATGCCACAACTATCCTTGCCACATTTGTGGATAACCACATAGTTTAGGATTTCTAATTGGCAAAGTCATCAGCAGAAAATATAACG